CGCGGAGAGAGACTGGCCGCATTCCAGTGGCTAAGAGGACCGTGTCATCGTGCAGCATGCAACGTAAGTGATGGTTTGCCTCTGTTGGGTTCAATGTACGGGGATCGGCTCGGGGATGTGGGTACCTGTAGTCCTCGGTGAGGTCATCAACGATGAGAGCAGCAGCGTGGATGCGGTCCGACTCGAAGAAAGCTGGCAACCCAAAAGCATCCTACAGTGCACCCCGTAATAGAGGGGTTAGCCAGAGCCACCGCGCGCGTGTGCAGCGTTTGTGTGATGACAATGACGAACGTGGCGGTCTAACCTTGACTTGGCGATCGGGAACACCGTAGTTGCCAATCATAGGGAAGGTCAGGCAGAGGAGCTGGCGGGTGTACGAGGGATCTGAAGCATGCCAGGAAAGCAAGGACGATATCAAGGATGAGTGGTTGTGACAACAACGTGTGGGCACATCATGTCCAGCCGTTTTGGCTGGCTCTCTGTAGTGTCAGGCAACTTGAACCGCAAGGGGCCGTACCGGTGAGTGATTCAGGGTAGCCCACCATGCCGGTTTGGAAGACGGTCTCGCCCACGACGCTGACGGGGGCACCGAAGCTATGCACAAGGGCAGGGAGGCGTCATCAGGGCAGGCACAAGCACCGAGCCTTTTGTGCCGTGTGATTGTTGTGGGTCATGGTTTGGGGCAGGTTGGAGCTCTGTTGGAACCCTTTTCCAAATTCAAACGGCAGCCCCACCCTCCTCCACCCCAAGCACAACCCAGCCCAGTCAGACCCGCCCAGAGGCACACGTGCATCTCTGGGCGATGTGTAGCTTTTCATGACCTCATGGCCACAAGCACAGAGCCTTGAGCTCGCCTGCCCCTCTCTCTCTCTCTCTCTCTCTCTCTCTCTCATCTTTTGTGAGAGAGAGAGAGAGAGGTATTGAGCAAGAGCTTGTTGACATGTGTGTGTGTGTGTGTGACACGTGCGGGTTTGAGGGACATTGGGGGTCGATGGCAGCCGCAAAAGTGGCGGCGACTGGGCGGGCGAGACCAACCTGTAGCCGTTGAAGCGAGTGCCATCTTCGAGCACAAGGGTAGCCTTTTTCTGCAGTTTGGCGCGAGGCGCGGCCACCACATAATCCTGTTGACCGTCGGCTGCCATGTTGAGCGGTCGTATCCTAGTTCTTTTGTTCACAAGGTGAAAACGGGGTCGAGCTCGCCATGTGAACTGCCACACACACACTCTCTCTCTCCTCTCTCTCTTTTCTCTCTCTCACTGGATTCAGAGGTCAAAACGTCAAACACACACGTAAAGGAGAAGTAAGGGTGGTGATGTGGGGGGACGACGCGTGTGGAGGTGACAAGCTGCAAGGTACACGTGATCGTGGATGGCATACGCAAGGCACCCATTATGTGACCGGCGCTACACTTTGAAAGACTCCATGCGTGTGATCGGAGGACCTTTGTTGGGTGATGGGAATAAAATGTTATATATATACTATATTTTGTGACGCATTTGTATCCAAATATGGTTGACTGGACAGCTTGGCCGAGTGGTTAAGGCGTTTGACTAGAAATCAAATGGGGTCTCCCCGCGTAGGTTCGAATCCTGCAGCTGTCGTTTTTGCTTCCAAAAGCGTTGGTTTTTTTTTTTTTTTTTCCTCTTGACTTGGGAGTTGGTCCAAAGACACATCCAATCCTTGCCAGAAGGCCACAGCCGCGATCGTGCTCATCGATCAGGTTGGCATCGACTTTCGATATCGAAAGATTGCCGAATGTCTCGTTTGTCGGCATGTCAGATTCTTCACTTTGCCCATAGGTTCGCCTATGGGGCAATGAGTAAGTGAAGGCAAGACAAGGCATGCTCGTTGGTTGACTACTTGAGGGCTTGCCAATTGGGGTTGGTCCTCCTTGCTCCCCCTTGAACACGCAACCGTGTGTCTACTCGTGAAATAACGTGGTCGCCAAGCTGTCTTGAGATGATTCCCGTTTGTATGTACATATGACGGCACAAAAAAAAAACCCTGAGTATCGCATCGTCGTCGGGCACAGAATCGCGCCAGCAAGCCCTCGTAGCCCATCGCCATGTCCACGATGTAGTTTGCGAACGCTAGGTGGAGGAGGGGCCTCTAGAGCGTCGCGCCAGAGTATCGCATGCGGCAGGGATCTGGGTGTAAAATGTTATGACATGTTCGAAGATCTCTGACCTTTTGAGCCCGTCAGCAGATGCTTCACGACTTGCATCACAGTTTAGCAGAATGCATCAACGACGTCGACAGTAAAAAAACACATAATCGCACAGGACGGGGTTGCAAACCAAGGACCAAGGGTGACGGGAAATCACCACCGCCAACTGGTTCAAAGCAAGCACGGAGCACGAGATTTCAATCAAGATAATATCAAAAACGAAAACAGAAAATAACACGAAATTGTGCGAAAATTGATGGTTCCCTCCCTTGAAAATTGAAACGGTTATCTGACAAATACAGCGTAACATAACATGCATACGTTTTATAAGATGTTATGCTCCCCACTTTGCAGTTAACAAAACATGACAGCTTGGCCGAGTGGTTAAGGCGTTTGACTAGAAATCAAATGGGGTCTCCCCGCGTAGGTTCGAATCCTGCAGCTGTCGTTTTTGCTGGCGATGTCTGTGCTTGCACAGAGTAATAGTAGCAAAATGATGTTTTTTTTTTGTTCTTGTCCACGGCGCGCACACAATGCACAGGAGCGAGCGGTTCAAGGGTGATGCAGAGAACTAAATTACGCCACAATAGGCCACGTCGCCAGCACAAGAGGTGTGTTTTCGGAGTGCGATCACGACGGCACGAAGGGTAGAAGGTAAGTTGCGGCATCGCTGGGTTAACACGGACAGTTTGACGATGTCAATGCCTGACAAGCATCGTCCGGCTGACCAAGCCCCCCAAGCTCGCCAAGTACCGTTGCCGTCAAAGCCAGGACAGGGTTGGCGCAGAGCCCAAAGTAAGAACCCACAGAGGCAAGATTGTAGAGGCCCTCGACGCTCACCAGCTTGCCATTTGACTAAGGCACGAAGAAGAGGACAATGAGCACACCCAAGCGCCAGGTGAATGGAGGTGGCTGGACACCAGGCCGTGCCCGCTGACATACCTTGATCGAGACGTAGCCACCCACGACGGTCAGACTGCCCAGTGCATCCACATTTTCCAAGGCACCGAGGCTCTGCAAGCAACCACCAAGCATGCAAGTGGCGTCGATAAGCTGTGCTCCTCGAAATCGATGTCTTCTTTCAAACAAACTTTAGCTGCAGGTGTGCAACGGTCAAGACCACTCAGATCTCAGCATCCAGGAACGCACAGCAATGTACAGATTGCTACCAATCGTTCGCAGGCTGCCAAGCCCTTCGAGCGAGGCTAGCGCTCCATTGTTCTATATAAACAACAGTTAATCAGTCGCACAGCGCCCACGTTCGCAAGCCGGCACAACCGGTCAACGCACTTCGAGAGAAAGCTGGCCACCGATATAGGTCAGGCGATCCAGGCCACTCAAGCTTGTGAGCGCGCCAGTATTCTGCGAGTCGTACCAAAAGCATCAAGTCCACATGTCATAACGCGTGAGAGGGCTCAGGTAGATGGGCAGATGGGGATACTGTCAAGTATCGAGACGTGCAGACATCTAGTCACCGGCGCAACGTACATGAATGCGGACATTGCCGGACACGCTCACGAGGGATTGAAGGCCCTGCAGGTCCTGTAGCCCACCACAGTTGGCGAGCTCGATGTTGCCCACCAAGTGGGTGACATTGGTAGCCACCATGGCATCGGTACAACCGAGATTACCGGTATAATCGACGCGGGGAAGCAATGTGGAGGCATACTGTTCGTACATCTGTTGCAGTTCGATCAGTTCTTGCACGACATCGACCCCATTGATGAACACGCGCGAGTTAGTAGAGCCAGTCTGAGAACTGTTGATGTGGATGTTACCATCGCCATCGTTCCAGATCCTGGGCTTGTTCCCATCGGTGGCAGCCACAGCGGCGACAACCAGGAGTACGCCGCTCAGCAGACGCATCATCTGGCCGGTGTTGAACAAAGCAAAATAAGAGAGAACAACAACAACAACATCAAAAAAAAGCAAACCAAAAAGCAAAGCTCACGACTACATACATATGTCTATTTTATCTATCTCACTTCATATTGACTGGACAGCTTGGCCGAGTGGTTAAGGCGTTTGACTCGAAATCAAATGGGGTCTCCCCGCGTAGGTTCGAATCCTGCAGCTGTCGATACACCAATGTTATTTTTTTTTCTTGTTTTTGCGCTTTCACTTGATGAGTCGATAGGGGCTGCAGCTCGAGGTTAGGGAATGTTTGCTTTTTTTTTTTTTTTTTTGGCATCTCAGCTGTTCTCAATTTGAGTGGACAAGCCCGCGTGGTCACCAGTTGGGATTCACAACCCAGGGGAGACGATCAAGATCCTGGTTACCGCCGCAGAGAATGACGCCCACCGAGCGCAGCTTGTGGGATTCCGCAAAGGCCCGAAACTCATCAGACATTGCCACGGCCACCTGTGACAGAGCGAGGCGCGGGGAGATGTACCATGAGTTGCAGCAATCGCAATGCAAACCGGGCCAGCCATGCACGTACCGGCACACCAGCGCTGGGTTCGATGACCACCTTCATGCGTTCCATCACCAAGCGTTGACCTGTTAGGAGAGAAGCAGTGAGATACGCTGCCGAAAGTGTCATGATACTTTGGCCGACTTAGCCCGCTGTACCTTGGATAATGTCATGTTCCGACACCGTGAAGACCTTGTCTACGTGATCCCGAATGATGGGCCAGTTCAAGTTGCCCATGCTGGTGCGCAGGCCATCCGCAACCGTATCTAGTGCCATAGTACACATGCAAAGGGGCTTACTCTGCCGTGGACGCTTATGCAGGGCCCAGGGCAGGGTCAGGGAGGCGGTACACACACCTGGGTAGGTTTTGAGCAGAACATGCTGTTGATCGCGAATGGACTGATAGCAGTCATCGGCTCTGGCTGGCTCTGCCGCGATGACTTTGATGTCGGGTCGGATCCCCTATACACGGTTGAGGACGCTCAGAAGGGGGTACATTGATCCAACACTGGTCCCATGCGAACGAGCGAGCTTCCAACCTTGGCTGCCAAGCAGATGCCCGCTAGCATGCCACCGCCACCGATGGGAACGATCAGGGCATCAAGGCCTGGAACTTGCTCCAGCAGCTCCAGGGCCATGGTACCTTGGCCAGCAATGACGTCGCAATGGTCGTAGGGGGGGATCAGCGCACTCTTGGGCAGCGCCTATGCCACGGGTCAACATGGATCGCGCGAGAGGCGAGTTGAGTGCTTGCCCGCTTCAAAGCAGGTGCGGGTGGCAGAAGGAGGCGGAACCAACCGCCCGGGTGGCTTCAGCAGCAGCTTCTCGAGCGGGCTGTGTGGACTCGCACGTAATAACGCGAGCGCCATAGTCCACGACGGCCGCGCGCTTGACCGCGGGGGCATTGTCCGGCATGACGATGTGCGCATTTCGTCCTGCGCACGTTCACAAAGAGCGTGAGTCGGGTGAAGTAGCGCAGAGGTGGATGCTTGTGGGAGCGGGCGGCGCGAGAACAACGGGCGCACCGGTGAGTTGGCAGGCCAAAGCCACGGCCTGTGCATGGTTGCCACTGCTGTGCGTTACCACGTCGCGCACATCATCTGGCAGCCTGTGACCCACATCCATTGTCATCGGGCACCAAGGTTAGGTAGTGCTAAAAGCATTCCGACACGGTGCGGTGCGGTGATGCGTCGGCAAGGAGGCAGTTGCCAGAAAATGTGTTATGTGACAGGATGTGTGTCTGTGTGGATCCTACTTTGAGATGGCGTTGAGGGCGCCGCGGATCTTGAAGGAGCCCCCTAACCACACCAACGCTTGAGTCTGAGATGATTCAGGACACCAGCAGCACAGCGCAGGAATTGGAAGGCATACCTTTTTGAAAGGTCTCGCACTTGAAGTGCAACTGTAAACCAGCTCTGCGGTCCATCTGTTGCGAGGTCAATACGGGCGTCACGTGTGCTTTCCCGGCAATCCGTGTCTGAGCCGCCTGGACATCCTCAAACGTCGGCGCGCACATCGCCGCCATCTTGCTGAATTGAAGTCGTGGTGTTTCTTCAAATTATCTGACAACTTCAACTTGTCAGACAACAGTACCAACACATGTTGTTTACACTGCATCCAGTCGCGGATGCGATCACGACACACGTAAACGCGAGACATGCTCAATGCTCATCAGGACGAGGTGGAGGGCACTGGGCACATCCAGGGATCGTAATGCGTAAACCCGGCGTGTGTATGTGTGAGTGTGTGTGTAGATGGGTGTTTCGTGTCCTCTCATCTCCTTTCATGTGCAGGGCGCGAGCTGTTGTGGTGCTGGCAAGCAATCCTTGGCTGGGGATCAAAACGCAGTGGCTGCGATGGTGATGGTGGCCATGGCGAGGGCTCAGTCGTCCCCAGTTTCGTGCGCAAGGGAGACCAACTCGGTGCAGATGATGATCAACGCTGCAGCATCTCCACCCCACCCTCGCCGGGGTTGTGGTCGGATGCTGAACGTGTCGCCATCAGACAGCGAGTGTCGCTTGCACCCGTTGCGAAGCCATTTTGCTCAAGTGTCCACTGTGAGGTTGTGCATCAAGCCTACTGACACCTTTGGTCAGTGTGGGAGTGGCATTTTACGTCTCGACCCAGACTGAATCATTTCCTGTATACCAAAGCCGAGCCTGATTATTGCTACTATATTGTCGACAGACCAACAGCATGCCTGAAACCAAGCAAGGCCAAGCCCAAAGCACCCCTCAAGGCGGCAGCAGTACCATTCTCGTCGGCGGCCGCCCCCTCATTGCCACCGCGCCTCTTCAGAGCGACTGCGGTGAGTCGGCCGTGGCAGCATCAGAGGCGGCTACCATGGTGTTGTTGCAAAACTGGCTCCTCGACTGCTAGTCGAAGCTCGTTCGGCCCCAAGCGTGCATGCGCCCGTTTTTTATGGTGTTGCCCCCAGCCAACACCCACCTGGGCGTCACCTGTGACATTTTATGGCGTTGTACCTTGTTTTTTATTGCTTTATTGCACACGTGTGATCTGCCCTCACCGTTGAGTTGGTGTCGCTCTGCCCTGTCTTTGATATTTCTCTCCTTTTGACGTGTTCATTTGTTCGTCGTAGTGTGGGGCGATCGCGGCGGCTGCTTTTGCTGCACCATTCAGTAGCCGATCTGATCCTACAGTCCGGCAGCACCCGAGCCCTTGGAATCACAAAGGTCTCCTTGAGCAGACCAATTGCTGCTCTTGCCGGAGGAGTAGACCAGGCCGTGTCGATATTGAGCTCCCTGGGCGCCGTGCGCCATCTTCCCTCTCCTCGCGTTGTTTCAAGCCACCCTTGTTCATACAACTGCTTGGTTTACATCCTAATTGACAGTTGTTCACTTTGATATTGCAGGCTGCCCATTCGCCAAGCAAAAATCAAGACATGCAGCGAGAGAAAAAGCGAGAGTTTGAGAGAGAGAGCGAGAGAGAGAGAGCGAGAGAGAGAGAGAGACACACACACAAGCAAACAAAGAAAATGGGTCTGTCTGACATATTCAAATTTCTTTCGAGCATTTGCTGGAGCCGTCGCGAATGGCAGTGTCGAGCCTGGGCCTCTTCTCTGCTTGGGATCAGATGGCTTGTCCTTGCCAGGTGAGCACGCTCCTCAAACGTAGGTCGGGAATCTCGATAAAAGAGTTTCTTCATAGTGGGACCGCCACCTTCGACAGCAACGTGCAGCTTACATGTGTCACCCCAGAAAAAGAAGATTGACCATGCACCCACTCGACATGTTTGATGGCTGCGATGCTCAATTCATTTTTCTTTACTCCCCGCAGCCGCTCACAAGCCATCGAGCCTCTGTTTCCATTCCCAGCTTCGCTCAAGTGTGCTTTGTCGCTGACTGAAACAGCTTTTTTTTGGAAAATACCACCGGACGCCCAGCATAATGCCACCAGCCAACAAGTCAACTACCAAAAGTGTCGCGGCGCGTTCCAGTGCCACCGGATTTGTCAATGGCCGGCCCATCGCGACCCTTCAAAACACCTTGCAAGCCTTGAGTCCTGAGTGCGGTATGTGTTGTTTGTTCTCACTGGCTTGTTAAAACAGCAAGGCGCCGCCCGACGCTGGCATCTCGCAACTGCTATTCCACAACGACTCACCTTGCTGACTGCCGATCCGCCTCGTCCGGATTGCACATTGTAGTTTGCGAGGATAAGGAAGGCAACCAATATGCCTTCTGCTGTTGCACCATTCTCTAGGACCCGCGCACCACTGCTGTGCCTTAGCTATCCGTTATCACATGTGAGGCGCATGTTCAGCTGTGTTATCGTCTTGCATCGGGCACCGCGTGCCGGTGTTTGACTCGCGATTATCAAAAAACCCGCGGCCAAGGTCTTTGTCTAATTGAACATTTTCTCCAAGAGTATGATCTGCTTTCACAACATCAACTCGATGCAACGTGAGCATTGACAGGATCACATCTCCTGCTGCACCGAGCAACCCTATCGTCATGTGACAGGGAGAGAAAGCGGAGAGAGAGAGAGAGAGAGAGAGAGAGAGAGAGAGAGAGAGAGAGAGGGGGGGAGAGGGAGAGGGAGTGTGTGTGTGTGTGTGTGTTTGAGTGAGCGCGACTTGAGTGTGAATGCAGCAAACCCCACCCAATTCCTGACTTAGGTCATGGGCCTGACACTACAATAAGTTTGACGCAAGAAAAACTGATGGGCAATCGATTGATGACCGAGCAAGCAACTGTGGCTTGATGAACTGTGGCGACGCTGAGCCTAGGCAAACGTGTCATTATCGTCAACATCGTCATTGTCAACATTGACGTTCAAATAGTCGCCAGAAAAATCATTTGGCTCCATGTAGTGGTCAAAGCCATCCCCCGCGTCAGCAGCAAAGTCATAAGCATTGTCGCTGTAGAGTGGATCGTCGGCAGGGGCACCGTTCTTCTGGGTGTCGTAAAGCGGGTTCTGAAAGGCCACCATGTCTCGGGTCCTGCTGCCTGCATCAGCTTGACGCTCGGTATCACTCTCATTGGTGGGGCGGGTGCGTCGCATGTAAGCGGCCAAACCCATGGCAGCACATACCACTACTACGGCACACGTGCAACCCACAATGAGCGGCACATGATCTTGGCTAGAAGATGCCGACCCGCTCGACGCCGCCGTGCTAGCACCAGAGGCCTCGGTGGTCAGCAGCCAAGAGGTGGAGCTGGTGGAAGAGGTGGAAGAGGTGGAGCTGGTGGAAGAGGTGGAAGAGGTGGAGGAGGTGGAGGAGGTGGAAGAGGTCGACGAGGTGGAGCTGGTGGAGGAGGTCGAGGAGGTCGACGAGGTGGAGCTGGTGGAGGAGGTACTCATTGTGGAGATGTAATTCGCGGCGCGGGCCAGTGCGGTCTGATACGCGGCAGCGGCATGCACGCCGGCCGCACCACTGGCTGCCGTGTTGTTCACGTAGCAAGTGCCGTCGGGTTTGGGCCCATCGTTGTCACACTTGATAATCTCAAAGATAAAGTCAGCAATGTCGGCTTCAGGGGCTGGATAGCAGGGTGCCCAGCGACAGTGGCTCACTGCCCATTCAACGGCAGTGGATTCGACACAATCGTAATCCCAGCTGCCATCTTCTGGCGCCAAGAATGAAGCCGGGGTAAAGCAGGGGTGGTATTGAATGTTGCCACCAGCTGCATACTTGAGAACGGCCGAGTTGATGCGCTGCTCAAATTGGGTAAAGAGGAGGGTGTCGGAGGCACTGAAGGAGCAATCGGCCTCGGACGCACAAGTGGCAATGTAGTCCATCGTCAACTGGGCAGAGTAAATGTCAAGAAGATCGCGTCGATTGCGGCGGGCAATCTCCAGGCTGAGATGCACGGGCCGAACCACGGGTTGCGTGCCACGCACGTAGAGATCCACAAAGTGCAGCAGTGGTTCAGCGTTGTACTGGTTGATCATGTGGCGCATCATGTGAATCGGAATGCCAGCACCCACGTCAAAGGTGGGCGCCTCGGCAAACTTGACAATCGGCAGGAGGTCAGAGTAGGCCGCCACCTGAGTGCCGGCGTTGGTAGCACCGGCCAGCAAGATGTTGTAAAAGGTGATGGGCAAGACCGCATCAGCCAGATCAGAAGCGATACCAAAGGCCATGTCATGGAAAACGTGGCCGGGGAGGAGCCAGCCAAACTTGCTGACATCGCTGCCTTTGAGAGAGTTGAGGATATCGGCCATGTCACCGCACACGCCGCTCGGGCATGCTTCCTTGAGGGCGAACTCGGCATCGTCCAAGAACACGAGTAGGGTAATGAGGTGGTCCACAATGGTGCTGCACTTGTCCCGGATACCGGTGGCACAGTCGGTAGTGGCAGCATCAACGGCCACGCTCAGGGCGCGAGCGGAGAGGGCAGCCGCGGTGGCTTGGTAGGCGGCCAATTCAAAACCCGCCACCAAGGGAAAAGCAGAAGCTAGGCCGAGCTGGGAAGACGTAACGGTGAGGGCGGTGGGGACCCGGTCGCCGTTGATGTTCTGTAGGCGTGCACTCATGGCCTTGACGCGAGAGGACCATAGCAAGGTGCTGCTGTCAATCGACATGGAGCTCTGCGAGACGTCCGAGGCGTTGAGAAAGGCAGTCAGAGCATGCTCAAAATGCGAGATGAGGCGGTCGTCCGAAGTCAGGCTCGACAAAGCCAACTGGGCTGGGCTGTAGCCATGGGTAATGGCGTTAATGTCAAAAGTCATGGCATAGTTGTTGCTAGCTTCAGTGGCCAGGTTGGAAAGAACGTCGTCGGCAGCACGACCAAGAGCCGTGAGGAAGCGAGACACCTGGGTCGTGTCATCACTGCACGTGTCCAGACAAATGCACTGCTCATCGCCACCCTTGAGGAGGCTGGTCAGGAGGGGCGGGGGTGTGCAGACGCGTGAGTGAGGTTGAAGGGCTCAAAGAGCAAAGCATAGAAAGCGAGCAAGCTTGTAACATGCACTGAATCCAACCAGCCCAAACAGCTCGAAGCACACAAATAAACCCGGAAAAAAAAAAAACCAAGAGAAAGAGAAGGACAGAAGGAGATGGTGGCGGTCGCCTGACGTACCAATTGTTTGTGTTGATCTCCATGCGGTTGGCAATGTTACCGGCAATCCCGGGCTGGCTCACCAGCGAGTCGAGACGCATGTCATCAACTTCGATGCGCTGCACGGGAAGGGCTGAAAAGCGCGGGTCGGCCACAAAGTAATAGGATGCGCCTGCGGAAAGGGACACAATGTCCGTGTCGCAGGGGACTGACGCAGAACCCGACGAGGCCCACTGCAATCGGGTACGGCGCGGCAGGATGGTTAAGGCAGGTGGAGCATTGGGATGCAAGGCGGAGGTGTTTTTTTGGGCCGGCAAACCGAGGCGAAAGGACGAACGTTGTTAGAGCAGGTAAAGGACCAGCCAGGATCAGTGGCGTTGGGGGTTTGAAACGTGCTGGTGGTTTGACCATTGGGTGTGGTAGCAAAATTGAAACCACCCGTGTTTCCTGTCAGAGATGGGCGAATCAACGGTTCAGCAAGGTGGTGGGGCAGGCGTAAAAAAACTTTTTTCTGTGCGCGTGAGGGGTGGCATGCGTACCAAAGACGAGGCGGCCCGAGGACGGAAACATGACGGTTTTGGTCTCGATCGCGCCGTCCACCGTGAGCACGTAGTCTTCGGCTGTGCTGAGATTCAATGCCTGTACGCCGCTGGAGGGAGGCATATCCCAACTATAGACGTCATCACGCAACATGAGGCTGATCAGCGTACCCTTATGCCTGGCTCAATGCGCACCGGCGAGCGCACGAGACGTACTTGTAGTCGGCGCTCAGGGAGAGGGTGTTGCCAACCCAAGTCAAGGTCTTGGCCTGAACCGAGGTGCTGGTGGCTACCAACACCATCGCGAGGACGGCCCACATGGCGCCACGTGAGGAGGGACGCGGCTACCGTTCACCGTCAACAAGTGAGTGTTCCAAGTTGGTGCGGGATCGATGGCGCTGCCGTTGGCGCTGCCGTTGGCGCGCTGCTCTCCGATATATGAGAGAGAGAGAGAGAGAGAGAGAGAGAGAGAGAGAGAGAAATGCAAGCAAATGCAAGGGCAGAGAGTGAGCCCCAGTCTGAAAAGTCCATAGAGGTGGCCGCAAGCCAATGGCAGAGGTTTACACAGATGTGTGTGGATCCTCAAGACCAACGGTTCAAGAGCTCAAAATGTGTGGCTTGTTGCGATTGTCAGACGATTCAAATTCTGAATCATTCCACACTGCACTTTTCAGTCCACATCCATTTCAAAACGATAAAGGATGACAAATCCCACACCCTGTATTTTCAACTACGCCCATCCTCCAATCTCAAGTCAGCATGAGCGAGTCAACTGGCGCCACCACCTCGGTGGTGAGCACCCGGCGCGAGCTCTTGGAAACGGCGCTCTACGAGCTTGATAACCTGACTGACCAGCGGGTAAGGGGCTGCATTCGAGGACCAGCCTGTTTGCTCATGTGTGTGTTGTGTGTGTGTGTTTGTGTTTGTGTGCGTGTGTGTGTTTGTGAGAGTTTGGAAATGAGCGAGTGATCGGTGTGCCTGTGCTGCGGTTGCAATGCTCTGCTTCGGCTTGCCGGAGAGGCTGACACCGCTGCTTTGTGCCCGTATGGTAGCAAGTCTTTTTGCGCAAGCCGCACGAGAACATCTATTTTCGTAGCACGCGTGCCGCCGCTCGCAAGGCTACCGAAGGTGGGTACTGCCTACAGCCTCGCTCTGGGGTTTTATCCGCACCAAGGACCCCGGTTGTGCCAATTCCGCTTATTGATTGGCCCGCTCCCACACGCCCTGCAGAACAATTCCATGCCACCCTCAAGCAGGGCAGTTCAACGCATTCATAGCTGGAACAAGACAAACCACCATTTTGAGATCAATGTTGAGACGTGGTAGTCCACCGTTGGGTGGATATTCAGAGGCTGAGCCTTGGTGAAATCGTTTCCAGCAACAATTGACCCTTTGATTGTGTTTTTGACGGAACGGGTTTGATCCCTCGTCAGAGTCGCCTCGCCTTCTGCCCGCGTGCTCCCTGAACAAGCTGCTAGCTACTCAAAGTAGACAGGCAGACTGGGTCTTTGGTAAGATTTATTGATCGCCGACGTGCGGATTTCAGCGGAAGGCTTCTTGTTTCAGCCTGCCATATTCCCTCCGCCTTCACTCTGCTGATAAACAGTTCAATTTGCAGCTGCAGACAGCGGTAGCATAACTTGATTATACATAGGTGGACGTGACCTCAGTCTTCCCTCGGGAGGAAATGCGGATGGCAGTGAGGTGCCGCCAAAGAGGGCCCAGCCCCACTACTCACGCCACGGCAAAGACCTCGATACCATTGATCTTGGGGTTCTCTGCCTCACCCGCCATCAAACGGACGCGCAGCGAGGTGCTTGTTACGTTGAGGCGATGTTCCAGCACAAAGGGTACCAATGGTCCCGCCACGGCCACGAGGTCTAGGGCTTCCATGAGGACCGTACCCTGGACCTTGACACCAAAGACTCGCTCACCCACAGCCGTTGCAAAGATTTCGGCGAAATGCAGTCGAACAATGTACTCGCCGGCCGGCAAGGGCAGGTCATACTTGAGGGTTGCGCCTCCGACGGCGCCATAGCGTTCTGATTGGTACATGGTGTTGGTATGGCCCGCCACAGCGGTGGAAATCTGATAAAAGCCACCGCTATTTGAAAAGTAATTGTCCGCACCCCACAGGTTGCCGTCCGTGTGTACAAAGGCCGAGCCACCGCAATTGATCCGGTGGATAACGGGGCCGGCCGATGCGCCAGGTCCTGCCGTCGAGCTACGGGTCCCCCCCCACAAAAGCAAGATTGTCACACCCACCACAGCGCAACATGAGCTACGCCACCGCTCGATGCACACTGGTGTTTGCGAGCAAGAGATGTACATGACATCGCAGCACTCACCTCACGCCGCCCCCAGTGTTGATGTTGATATCTGCGTACACCTCAATGCCGTTGATTTTCGTGTTGTCCACGATGGGTGAGAGGGTCAACGTCAAAGCGCCATCCAGCACCACCACCGAAAAGGAGCGTAGAATAGCCGATGTCGTCGTGGTCTCGACAAGCATGTCAAAATCGTCGAGAGCAATGGCATTTTCTAGAAGCACATCGAATACCCGGTCGCCCATGTTTGTATGTGGGGCATAGGTTTCGGCAAAATGTAAACGCACGTGGTACAGGCCGGCCGTTGGAACCGGGATCTCATACACGAGGGGCCCATCCTGGCCACTCCGCCACCGCTCCGTCCAATACAATTCATCGTTGACCGTGCGTGCAATCGCTTGGCTCGGCGAGACAGCTTCCAAGCCTCCATTAAACAGACCATCCGACTAGCGTCCCAGCAAAAGTTGTGAGCGATTCGAATCCTTTCCCAAAAGCCGATGGTGCGTCAGTCCACCCGAGTCAAGTCTTTACCTGCCACGTGTTCCCGGCTGGATCGATGTATCGACTGCCACCGCAATTGAGGCGCACAATGACAGCACCGTAGGCACTCAGGCTGGGCCGAGGCAAGGACCCGGGTATCACAGCCATGGTGTCGTAGGCAAAGCCCGCACTAAATCCCAGAAGCGAGCGCATGTGTGAGTCAGCAGACAGGCCCGCGCACACGAATGAGCGATCAAAGGCTGGTTGCAAATTTGAAGTGTACAACTCCATTGTTAAAGCAGGGACTCGAGCATGATACAGCCAACTTACGCATCTACGCTTTCGGATGTGGTCGTTGTGGTTGTGGTTGTAGTTGTAGTTGTAGTTGTAGTTGTTGTAGTTGTTGTCGTAGTAGTTGTTGTTGTCGTGGTCGTGGTCGTGGTCGTCGTGGTTGTCGTGGTTGTTGCAGTCGTCGCTGCTGACGTTGGCGTTGTGGTAACCACAGGCACCGTGGTGATGGTGCTCGTCGTGACAGGGACAAAGCTGTCACAATGCGTCATGCGTACTGCATCGGCCACCACCAAGCCTGGGGCTGAATAGAGCGTTGACAGGCGGAGGGCCAATGTTGACACGCCATCGACGTAAACAACACCCATCTCATCCAGAGGAACAAAGCCATCGGGAGAAGGGTTCATCTGCTGGTTGATAGTCTGAGTGGTCACGCGGGCATCGTTTCGCCACAGCTGCCAGCTGGCCCCCGAGCTGTGAGCGACCGCTGCCTGATGAGAAGCTGCCAAGTGATAGTAGCCCACAGGCATGTAGGTGAGGATGAAGTCTGCATACAAATTGGGTGCAAAGCGGCCAGGTGCCTGGTAATACGTGTCTCCCACAGCCTCGACGGCCTCAACCTCAGTCCAATTGCCGACTAGTTTAGACTGTCCCGCGACACCGGCATCCAAGAAGAATTGCCAAGTTTCCTCGCACCCGTCACTTGCAGTCGGAGTGGTGGTCATGACCTCTGACGTTGTGGTCGCTGGCAAATCGCCGGTCGTCGGGGTCTTGGTGGTGAAAGAGGTGGCGACAGTCGTGCTCACGGGGGCCGCAGTCGGCGCTTTGGTAGTGGTGGAGCTCGCCAGCGTCGGAAAGACGTTGCCGGCATCGCAGCAGCTACTCACGTGCACCAACACTCCGGCGTCACGTGATGTCGTGAGCAAGTCCAAGTCACCATCCCCATCAAGATCGGCGAGGTGGAAAGATTCCAGCCGCTCACCAGCTCCGCTGGTCTTGCCCACACGGTCGAAGATAATCGTGCCAATCTGGGTTAGATGGATGATATCGCCATCAGCTTGTCCAAGAAAGAAGTTGGGTGTGCCGTCTGCACTGAGATCTGCCACAGTCGCGCTCTTGATGTTCCACCGGCTGTTGCCAGGGTACAGGAGAATCTCGTCAATGCCTGAGGACGTCATGGCATTGCGCAGCATTGATAGCGCGCCTGTCTGCGAAACCCAAACCGCATCGAGATTGGTATCGCCTGATAGGGCGCCCAGTAGCCAAGACAGAAACAGAAGTAAGGCCGTGCATTTAAGCGTACACGGGAGCAGGACATTTTGTCAGTGGGATAAACAAGGCTACGCTGTGCTGTGCGCCAAAGTCGACCATGGTACTGACCATCAATGTCAACCAAAAACGCGTTGACCAGCTGGTCGGCTGTGTTTTGCACCAGCGTGGTTGCGGTGTAGCTGCGCAAAGCGAGATTGCCGACCAGGCGACGGATGCCGTTTCGCTCCACCACCAGAATGTCATCCATGCCGTCCTCTACACACCAGCACGCGATCGAAGGCCCGAATCGTGATGAGGGAGCAAGGCAGAGATCAAGCGTACAAACAACACGTGAGAATTTTCCTAATCATGATGGGATCGACAGGACTGTGACCGCGTGTAAAAGTACGTACCGTTAATGTCACCAACAGCGAGGTTGATGACACGATCAACCGACACGGGAAGCTGAACGGGTACGCCCAGCATGCTAGGAATCACATAAAGCGCTTCTTCAGCCCGATCACCAACCACAGTGTCCATTATGCCATCTGCATCAAACTGCAGCCAGGCCAAGCTTAACGGCTTGCCAGGCATCGGCGTGCGCTGGCGCTCTACAACCCTGTGGGCAGTGGCATCGAGGTTGTATTGAACAAGCCCGCCTTCAGACTTTGAAGCAACCAGAATCGTTTGATTGCGTGCAAGAACCGCCCAAGGCTTCAGGTTTGCTGTCTCCACGACCAGCCGTCGAAACATAAAGCCTCCTTGATTGACAAAAGCAATCACCGAGTCTTGTTCTTTGTGAATGGTGACAATGTCCAATGCACCATCCCCATTGAGGTCAGCAACCACGGCGTCGCGGGCCCGAGCGGGTGTAGCTCCAAGGTCCAATGGTGCAGGCGAATTAAAAGAAGCTTGGGCTGCCGTACATTCCAGACGACAGGATGGCGCGGGAGTAGCTCCACCAGCTCCATCCGCACCGGTCGTGGAGGAAGGGCTGGTCCGAGCCTTTGTCGTGGTAGTGATGGTGGTGGTCTCGCTGGGAGTCACCATGGGGGCTTCAGTTGTTGTCTGTAGTAATTCGTCAGTTGTGGTGAGATCAGACAGCTCAACTGAAGTGGTTGGCTCATGAGTCGTCGTCGTCGTCGTCGTAGTTGTAGTTGTAGTTGTAGTCGTCGTTATCGTAGTTGTTGTCGTCGTTGTCGTAGTTGTCGTCGTAGTTGTCGTTGTTGTCGCTGTGGTCGTGGCCGAGCCCGTGGGTGGAAGGGGCGTGGGTGCACTGGCCCCCACATGTGTGATCAAAACTCGAACATTGTCCAAAAGCACATGGGCTTCTTGGTCAAAACTGAGCAATGCACACGCTCGCACGGTGAGGCCCTGACCCAGTAGTGCCAAGGTATCCAGTTCGGTGGCGGCTTGAGAGTTTTCGTCCAGGTCACTTGCTAGAAGCTCAAACTTGAGCTGCGCATCGCGAAAGTGACCTGGTTCCATCGTGAGCAATATACGCGTTCTCAAGACTGATTTATCATCAGCAGCCAGCATTTGTAATTCGACACCAGCAAACGAGGCTCGGTCACTGCGATGGCCAACGCCCACCATCATGGTATAGGCTGTATCCGGCTGCAGGTACACCTCATCAAGTGTTTGCTCAATGCAGGCGCCCTGGCCCAGGTATAAAGTTTGGGCCCCGTTCATGACCGGCGGCTGAGATGGAAAGGCCGCGGCAGGGGTGCGGAAGACGCCACCCACACCCGCAATGCTCCAACCTGTAGCCTGTGCGGCGAATGCGCCTTCAAGATGCGGCGTGACGGGGCGCTCGAAGCTGGGGTTGTTGAGAGCCGCAAACCAAGGGCCAATGGTTCTAGAGAGACGGACGCAAGAGTGGCATGGTCAACATCAGGCCAGAAGTCATACACAGGACACATGGGAGACAGGTAGCCAAAGGCAGATGACTTACGGAGCCAGCGTGGTTGTGGTCGAAGTCGTTGAAGTCGTTGAGGTGGTGGAAGTAGTCGAAGTGGTCGAAGTGGTCGAGCTAGTTGAAGTAGTCGAAGTGGTTGAAGTAGTCAAAGTGGTCGAAGTGGTCGAAGTAGTTGAAGTGGTGGAAGTAGTGCTTGTTGTTGAGGTGGAGGTTGTGGTTGAAGTGATGGTTGTGGTTGTGAGCGTGGAGGTTGTGGTGGTGCTGGTGGTCGATGTGGTTGTCAACGTGACAGATGTTGTTGTGCTGGTGGATGTTGTTGTCGTCGACGTGGAGCTGCTGGTGGTTGAGGTTGAGGTAGTTGTGGACGATGTGGAGGATGTAGTGGATGTGGTGGTGGTAGTGACGACTGATGGGCAAGCAGCAAACGAATCACAAGCAAGCCCACGCAGCTCGATCGCATCCACAAACGCAAAGCTGAGGGAATCCCCGGCAGTAATGGTGAGGGCAAGTGGGCTGCCTATGGCCACGTGGTGGCGCGGCACCTGTACGTCAAAGTTAACCCGCACGGGAGTGCCCAAGGGTTGGGCATCGTCCATCGTCAAAAGTTGGCTGGCCAGCAAATAAGCTGGACTGGAGGTAGCCAGCTGCACCAAGACGTCCGGCATGGCGGTGCGCCCGAGCCATCCAGAGACGTTGAGGGTCAGTTGATAGCGAAAATTTCCTTGAAGTGTGGTATCGAGAATCTGCTTGAGGCGGCTGTTTCCGGTCATGAGAGCGACCTGTGATCCCTCGCCAAGTGTGGCAGCAAGCTGGATGCCTGCATCGGGCCGATAGGTGAAGACATCACCACTGCTGGCCCAATCTTGCACAAGCGAAAGAGCCACGACACCCGGCGGAAGGACGGGTAGCTCAAAGCTGGGGTTGAGAAGCCCCGGCATCTCAGAACCGATGACAATGGGGTGAGTAGGTAGGGGAGCTGGAGCCCCGTCGACATCATCTGGCGCCGTAGTACTGATAAGTTCCTCCACCGTGGTCTCCAGCAGGTCCGTCGTGCTAGGGTCTGCCGTGGTGGACAGGAACCAGCTATCGTCCTCAGCAGTCGTGTGGGGTTCATCGGTTGTGGTTGCTGTCATTGGCGTCGTTTCGTCATTAGCAAGCTCGTCGTCGTCCTCAATCAAGATGGGAGTGGCGGTTTGAGGCGAGTCCCCACCCAGGCCACCTGGCAGCAAGGTGGTGGGGCTGGCTGTCGTTAGGTGCTGGCACGCGCGCAAGAGGCGCACCGCATCCACATTGGCTTGTGGCGCATTGGCATAGCCGCCATCAACGGACATGCGGATCATCAGGTTCTGGCTCAGGACGGTTGAGTTGGGGAGGACATCGAAGCTGCAAGCCACATCCATCATGGTGCCAGCCTGCTCAAAGTGATCCTCCAAGACAAGGCAATTGGCTAGGATCTAGTCGCAGCAAGTCATGAGGGACAATCACACGGTAGGTGGTCGACTCGTGACAAGGCAAGGCGGGAGAATCGCGAGCGGGGAATGGCAGGCAGGTTCAAGAGCGTACAAGGGCAGAGGGGCTGGCCAAGAGCTGGATGCGCATCGTGGGGAAGGTGGCTTGATTGGCTCGCCAGCCTACAACCAAACGCAGTGTATAGATGCAGCCGGGCAATAGCTCTTCCAGCATCACTTGCTGGGTCATGGCGCCTCCCGTGCTGATGTATGCCATGTTGAGCCCAGCAGCCGGAGCCTGTGGTGAGCCGAGGAGAAAATTTGGTTACAGTGAGGTTGGCGGTGGCATGATAAGGGTCCATTGGGGCAACTTGTGCACGTATATGGCACCAAGGTCAAGAGTGAGATGGATGTCGAGTCTCGAGCCTGGTTTCATCTGCCCGGGAAAAAAAGGGGGGGGGTTCGCGCCTGACCTGGAAGCCACCTGGATACATGGTGGTCGGCACGCGATAAACGCCAGTTTTAGTGTCCGAGGCCCACCCGAGGATGGTGGTTGAGGCGGCGGTGGTGACGGGAAACTCAAAGCTGGGGTTGACAATGGCCAAAGGTTGCTCCCGTGCACTGGAACTCGTCGCTCTTGCCGGGACAACGGTGGTTAGATAAAACAGCGTGCCAACCAAGACCCAGGCAGCTACACGGGTAGGTGGCATCTTGGGGCCCGCCATGGCTCGGGCCGCGGCGGCCGGTGCCCGTTGTTAGACGCGGGTGTAGAGATGGCACCACCGAGGCCGGGATAAGGTGTCCTAGGGCTGCTACAACCAATTTTTTCGGGTGTCGCCTTGCGCCGTGGCTGGCAGACAAAGGGTGATATCAGCTGTGGAAGATGGGTGACCGAGGTGGCGGAAGCAATCATGAGCAAAGAAAATGGTGGTCATATCAAGCCAAGGGGGCACCCGCAGGGGTAGAGATCATTGAGATGAGCGCAGAGCAGCTCGTCTTTGTTCAATTGGTCCTTGAGCCAGCGCAAGGACATTCCATGTGGCGCAACGCAGGCTTTGGCCATGCTCACCAGTTGAGAAAAAAAAAATATCATGTCCCAAGAAAGATGTCAGTCGCCTGCCACCGCACGCCTTTATACTCCAACCATCGAAAAACGCTGGACAATACTCCTCACAAGAGAAAGGCCAAGGCCGAGGGCGATGGAGGATGCTTGAATAAACAAGAACCAGCCACAGACGGGCGGGCACAAGCCGAAACCAAGCGCTGCCGTGAGAGCGCTGGCATTGGCAGCATTCCAACACATGCAGATGTTGAGCCGCAACCACGACTCGTTCCCGTTCAACGCAACTGCGGACACACATTCTCGAAACACCAAATGGCACCACATTCTAAACACATGCCCCTCAAAGTATACTTCAACCAGCCCACAGAAAGATAGAACGAGAGAGAAGGATGACATTTAAATCTGACATTTTAATCACCCTTTTTTTCTGACAAGAGCCGGAATGGCGGACCGAACGTTGCTGATGGGCGATGGGGGGCGCCGCTGGCGGACGGTGGTGTTGGTGGGCGGCGGTCACTGCCACATCCAGGTGGGATTGGCGTTGCGTGTGTGCGGCGCGTATGGTATGGGCATCTGCGTGGTAGTGTGGGGGTTGATGGCTTGATGGATCTGGTGGAGCAAAGCTCAATGGGTATTGAGTCTCCGGTTGGGGCAGGTGGTGCGTGAGCTGCCTCAACGGGACGGGGTTCGCTACGTCCTGCTATCTGAGACGACAACAGCCTATTATTCGGGCATGATTCCGGGCTTGATCGCGGTACGTGGGAATGAGGTGAAGTGTCTCCTCTTTGTCTCTATCATTGCGTGGTCGTTGCGAACGATGAGGAGAGCAAGCCTCGATGGTCGATAAAAGTGCGATGGACCCCCTTTAGGGACACTACGCCGAGGCAGCCTGTCGGGTTGATTTGGCACTCTTGTGCCACCGGTACAAATGGACGCTCATTGTCGGTAAGCTGATTCCATTGCTTGGAAGGAGTGCGAGCATCCCGCTACTCTGCCTGCTCTTTTCCACCCCTCGCCTCGCCTCACTCCCAGCTTGGACCTGCTGGGTCAGGCACCGTCACGGGTATGGACGTGAGCGCACAAACCATCACATACCAAGATGGTCAAGGCCTCTCAGCCCAGCTCTTATACGACTGGGCTGCCCTTAATATTGGCTCTACCATCAAGTTGGCTCTACTTTGTCCCACTGCGTGCGTAGGAGGGCACAGCCCAATCTCATGGTCAAATGTTACTTTGCCAGGCCCAGGATACCATTGGCCCAGCACCAAGCTCTTCTTGCCACGCGTCCGATTGCAGATCTGAACACAAAGGTGGGTGCCCCCCTCCCTGCCCCAATGCATGTCACACAGTCTTGTCGCAAATTTGAGATGGTGTGCTTCGCTCAACAATGTATTCTGCTGGCGCAGTTGTCCACATTCATCGAGGCGTGGACTGCGGAGCATGCGGGCCAACACATGACCGTACGTGCCTGCCTTGGTGCAGGGCTCATGGTAGCTTCAAGTATCTTGTTCCGTTGGCCACTATAAACTCACTTGCAATGTGGGCAGGTGGCGGTCGTGGGAGCTGGCGCAGCTGGCCTGGAGCTAGCCTTTTGCATTGAACATCGTCTTCAGTGCGTGCAGTTTTTTTTTTTTTAACCTTATCTGGCTGGGTCGGGAACCACCTCACCTGGCCTTGCGGTGTAGGCATGGCCTCGGCGTCAACTGTTCTACCTCTCTCATCTCGGCTGCACCCACAGCCCTTGGCCTGGCGGCTGGTAGTATGGTAGAGCATGCTGTCCATCACCAATGCCAGCGGCGACATATCGAGGTTGAGTTTGAGTCATTGTCTGCTTGGCGCTCTTCTGGCCTTAGCCCTGGACTCTCTCATTTGTCTGAATGTCAACGGGTTGCTTTTCCTTGACCTTTTCCGTGCGTGCAGTTGGTGTGCAATGCTCGGGTGCGGGCCATCCAGGAGCACGGGGCGCAACTAGAGCTTGCCTTCATGGACGAACAGCTACCGGCCCGACGGGCCGATCTGGTCATCCTAGCCACAGGTATGCGACTTGAAATGCCGTTGCAACGGGTCTGACTTTGTGCTCACAGGAGCGCTTTTGTGATGGTAGGAGCTGATGCCCATGAATGGCCTGCCAGCAGCAGCTTGACCTGCGACTCACGTGGCTTCATTCGCGTGAAGGATACACTACAGGTACCTTTCATGCCGACTCACACTTGACGGCTTGGCACTGCCTCGCTGACTTGCGTGGGATGCAATCCTTCTTGTATTGGCTCTCATCGAGGCCCTGCGAGTGAAGACCGTCTGCAGCGATCGCGTCTTTGCCTCGGGCGACTGTGCCTCGATGGATAGTTACGCGGGTCAAAAGCCGCCAAAGGCAGGGGTGTATGCTGTGCGGTGCGAAGCCTTGCTAGTTCAAGCTCGTTCATTTTTTTCATAGCAAACGCCCTTTCTTGCCAAAATTTTGCGCCTCATCCTGGTTGCGTGGCAGGGCGGCTCCGGTCGTGATTCACAACCTCAAGACTCTAATCGACGAGGAGCTGCACGGCACATCTGCACACGCGTTAGCTCAGCGCTTGTTAACATCACGCATAGCACCGCACCTCTGCTCTAGCGGGGCTGATACATCATGTCCTGTTGTAGACGGCTGGAGACGTTTGTACCCCAATCGGCATTTTTGTCCCTTCTGACGCTTGGCGATGGTACTGCCCTGGGGACCAAGTGGGGCCTCGCTTTCGTGGGGCGTTGGGTATGGCATTTGAAGGATCATATTGACATGACTTGGATGCGTTCCTTTGGTGGTATGTGGCAACTTGCATCGTGGAGGCAAGCGCTTCCCCACTCCCGTGCTTGGCCATCTCTGGCCTTGTGGCAATCACGCCTCATACTCCCTACACGTACGGCCAACAGACGCCGGGTCGGGCCTGGCTCCCATGGTCGTTGCTCCACCTGATGCACCCGCCATGGCTGCCCAAGCTCTGGTAGCAACTGATGCGGATTTTAGCATCCAGCATGCCATATTGCAGCGCATGGCCGTCGATGAAGCCTACCGTCATGCTGTTCTGCACGCACACGACCAAGTCACCATGGTCTGAGGTACCTTCTTAAGCTCAGCAGGTGCATCCCGATACGAGGCGGCAGGGGCATAAATCCGCCAGTCCAATTTGCTCAGGCAAGAAAACTTGAAGCGAGACGCCGTGCGTTCCAACCAGGTGGTTGCTGATGGCGAGTACAAGGCAGTGTTTATTTTGAAAAAAATCGATCGAGTTTTTTTTTTTAAGCGTTGCGATCACTTTGCTGATAGCAAAATACAAAGTAGCAAATTACAGGATTGTTTCAACAAACACCCATCACTTTGCAAATCTGGCTTTAAACACACGACTAGAGACTTGAACACATTCAAACACCACACACAGATACACACAGGTTGTCGAAGCGCGTCCATTCCTCAAGCTGCTGTGGCGCCCTGCTGCAGCGTCTGGGCAAGCTGCTTCTTGTTGACTTTGCCCATCGCATTGCGAGGGAGCTCAGGCAGAACCTGATGACACACGATTGAAAGTCATGTCATTGAAAATGAGCTTGAATATGACACAAGGCATCAAATCGTAGTCAAGGATTGGGCAGAGGTGCAACCGCTTCAGACACTGACCTCGAGAGCAGTAGGTAGTTTGTAAGAAGCGAGCTCAGTGCCCATGAAGTCACGCAATGCTTCTAGGGTCAGGGGATCCGCGCCCTCCTTGAATACAACCACTACTCCAACCAGCAGTGCCAGCCAGCAACCGTCAAAAGGTCGGTGAGAAGGAACCCACGAGGATGAGTGGAGGTCAAGCCTGATGCATGGGTTCTATCAGCGCGATGAGGGGTAGTGGCGCCAGCGCCAACCGACCGGCTACGACGCGTTGACCCCAGGTTTCATCGTCAACGCCGACAATGGCACCGTCGCTGATGGCTTGGTGCGCCAGAAGAATGCGCTCAATTTCTAGCGCGGACAGCTTGAATCCACCAGTCTTGATAATGTCCTGTGAAGCCCGGCCCAAAATGCTGTAGGTCTGCTTTTGTGGGTCATAACGGCCAATGTCCCCCGTACGGAAAAAGCCTGTGCCACGGCACGTCGCACGGTAGCATGGAGGTAAGGCCAGGGCTCTTTTCGTGCGGTACGGTCATCGAGGTGAGTGCAGCGTAGAGCCAACCTTCAGTGTCGAAAGATTCATCGGTGGCATCCGGCTTGTTCAGGTACTCCTTAAACATGGTGTGTGATTTGATGCAAATTTCGCCCTCGGCCGCAATCTGAGAGCAGTGGTGCATGAGTGGAACTGCACGCCTGTGCACAGGCGCTACGCGGCGACGCAATGAGCAAGAACCGCCGCATACCGATGGTGCCGGTTCGGGCTCCTCTTCGCAAGCTGAGCGGTCATAAAATGCGTCTCCGCTGTCCCCAGCCAGCTAAATGACAGCAACGGACCGGCCCAGCCGCGTTCAAGAGCAGATTAAGAGGTCGGCTCAGACTGTGAGGATGTTGCGTGGGCGGAACAGATGCTTTTGAAAACAAGGCTAAAGAACGCTCGTGCGTATGCGGCAGCCGCACCTTGACCACGACGTTTTGAAAGGGCTGACCGACGGCGCCGGGAATGCGCTCGCCGTGAAGGGGATTTCCGAGCGCCATGCCAATCTCAGTCATGCCGTAGCGTTCAAGCAGGGTATGACCCGACACTTTGCGAAAGCGTTCCAGGACAGGAGTGGGCAGAGCTGCTGAGCCACTGACGGTCAGGCGCAGATCGCGGCACCCAGCTCGAAACTCAGCCTGTTCTGACCTACGCAAAACAGTAGCCTTGGATGAGCCGCCCTAGAAAACGCCTGATACAATGTGTAGCACCAAGCAAGCTGCACACGGATGCTTTGAGTCACGTTTGGTTCTTGACAACGGTATCGAGGCTGGGAGCGTCACGACTCACTCGGGGCGGCGTTCGTATTCCTGCAGCAGCTTGCTGTAGATTGTGGGCACGGCCATCAGCAGCGTCATGTCTGTCGTCCGATCGGGGGTCTTGGACACATTGGTGCGGAGTCTAGCAGGTGGTGGTGATTCACACGATCAGTCTGGCCGCTGTCCCCAGAAGCACACTGCCAAAATCAGCAGGGCATTTGGCGACTGGGCGAGCATACCGGTCAAAAACGTTTGGGGCAGAGAATCCTGGATACATCTCGAGGGTGGCTCCCGAGAGGGCAGCACAGGCGACAACGTTGATGATGCCATGCACGTGATGAAGGGGTAGGAAATTCATGATGCGATCGTGGCTGGTCCATTCCCAGGCGGAAACCAAGTTGCCAACCAAGTTGGCAAGACTGAAGTGCGTGTGCAGTACGCCTGCGGGCATTGTTGACCACAGGTCAGAGTAGAGTGCAAGGTTGCAGGAAGGGAGATAATGAGGGAAAGAGGAGTCGAAGGCTTTGGTGAGAAGGCTTTTGTGTATCAGTGCACTTTGCTTCAAAAATTGGCCAAGCGAGAGAGGGTACCTTTGGGCAGGGATGTGGTGCCCGAGGTGTAAATGACCAGGGCGCCATCGCCCTGTGAGACTTCTGGCACGCTGTCTAGCTCACGTTGGACGGCGGCATGCAGCGCGTCAGACTGGGGCTCGTTTTGAATAAACGACATGAGATGTTGTGCATCCAGGACGTGTTCAACGGGGTGTGACTGTAGGGCGGCTTGGAGGTGCTCTTGGCTGGTGGCATCGTGAATGACAGTGTCGACGTGGGCATCCTCAAGGACATAGGCCAATTCATTGGCCGAGTGCTTGCTGCACATGGGCACAGCCACTTTGCCGGCGAGCCAGATGCCAATGAGGGTTGCCAGCCAATTGGAGTTGGGCGCCAACAAAAAGCCCACGCTGCTGTTCTGAACCGAGGTGGCCTCGCTGGTGAGTTGTCGGGCAATTTGCAGCGCGCGGTATTGAATCTGAAGATGGCTTGCCTCATGGCGACCCTCTGAGCCCACATCAATCACCGATGGACGCTGTAGGACGTCGATGGGGTGGGAGAAATATGGCTGCAGAGCCTCACATAGATTAGGATGCTCGGGTATGACATGGCTGGCGCGGGTGCGGATGCCAGCCCACAAGCCTTGCGCTGCTGCTGTCGGCAGGGGCCGAGCTGCACGCCAGAGCAAGAACATTGTCACTCTTCTGGTTGTGCTCGTAGGTCCTACGCCACGAAATAGCGGTAGAGAGGGACGAGATGAAGGTGGCAGCAGTCGGCGCAAGGGGAAAAAAGAGCAGCTGGCGACCGACGGGTGGCGCTCCAGCCTCCACGCACTCACTCTCTCACCCCTTTCTCAATCCAATCAAAGGCCCATGAGTAGAAGACCACACCACTTTCCAGCACCACGCCAGCTCAAGAGCACGTACCTCCCACCACTTGTCACTTGCCACTGCCACTGCCACTGCCACTTGCCACTGCCACCTACCACCTGCCACTGCCACCTACCACCTGCCACTGCCACTTGCCACTTGCCACTTGCCACTTGCCACTTGCCACTTGCCACTTGCCACTTGCCACTGCCACCTGCCACTGCCACTTGCCACTTGCCACTGATCGAATCGAACGCGTATCTCCCAAAAGCCCGAGCGTCTCATCAAGAGAGAGAGAGAGAGAGAGAGACACACACACACAAACAAAATGACATCAAATTGCTGACATTTGTTTCATCATCATATAACCTTGAGAGAGCAGCGGGGCGGGATGGCGGAGGAGGCGGCGGTGGAGGAGGCGGCGGCGGAGGAGCAGGCGGATATTGATCGGATCTTGGAGGAGCGGGGGCGGGGAAGGAAGAAGGAGTACTTGTGCTCATGGATGGATGGGGCTGAGCCACAGTGGGTGGCTGCTCGATACCTCAAGGGTACGGTTGCTCTGGATGAGTGGCGTGATGCAGAGGACGAGGTGCCAGAGATTCGGGAACCGGAAGCGGAGTGGCGGCCCAAGGTTGAGCAGCTGGCCCGCTGGCTCCAAGAGGCACAGCGACCATGTATTCTGCTTGGCGCTGGCATCTCTGCCCCCGTTCTTCCCACGTTTCGTGGCGCCGGAGGCCTCTGGACCAAGCGGGCCAAACGTCAGGCTGCCTCGACCGAACCCCTGGCCCCAACCGCGGCGCACGAGGCACTGGTGGCCCTCGAGCGCAAAGGCCACGTCGACTGGCTGGCGACACAAAACTATGATAACCTCACGGCCCGCAGCGGCTTTCCCATGTCCAAAGTTTCGGAGCTCCATGGCAACCTTTTCAAGGAGGTGTGCGAGCGCTGTGGCGCCACCTATTTTCGAGATTATGAGGTTGAGCTCGCCACTGCCGTGGACCACGAGACGGGCCGCCACTGCGAGGTAGCCGACTGTTCAGGGCGCTTGCGCGATAACATTATCCACTTTGGCGAAGATTTGCCTGCTCAGGACTTTGAGCGAGCAGAGGCCCATTTTGGAGCCTCGGACTTGCGCATTGCACTCGGCACCTCGCTAGCCGTCGAGCCAGCCGCCGGCCTCCTGGTCCAAAATCGCCCTCGCCCTCGCCTGCGAGGTGCCCGACGCCGTGCCAAGGGCAGAGACACGAATACCGCCCTCACTGCCTCTCCTACTCGAGCACGCGTTTGTATCGTGAATCTTCAGCCCACTCCTTATGATGACCAGGCCGACTTGCTCGTGCGCGCCACCTGCGATGACGTGTTGCGAACCCTGGACGAGCTCTTGTAACCACGCAAGTGGATCAGAGAACGGGTATGCCGCAGACAAGACCCATGAGTTTGATTTTTAAGTGAAGCATGGAACCTGGGGGTTGCTTCGGGGAAGCACGGGGCCATCATCAATCACCAAGCGTGTCCATCACGATTGTCGTGATTGATAGAGGACGATTTTGCATGTGTGTGTGTGTGTGTGTGTGTGTGTGTGTGTGTGTGTGTGTGTGTGTGTGTGTGTGTGTGTGACGAATAATGATTGATCTACAATTGCGCTCTGAAAACGGATCACATGTGTCTCCTTGATGCCATAATTGAGCCGGGGCTTGACCCCTTCCCCAACCTTTTCCCCAGTCATCAGGAATTCCAGATGGAACGCCCACCCGACCACATGTTACAAAAGTCAAGACCGAACAGGGAAAGACACGCGCCTATTGAGTGCATCAGAACAAGAAAATCAGAGCAGTATAAATGTCCAGACTCCACCTGGTCGGTCTCAAGCATGACCATTCAGTGCGCCGCGGGCACGGGCAATAAACTCGGCCGGATCGTCAAGTGCCTTGACTGCACGAAAATGCAGCTGACTACACGTTGTGCAAGCCAAAACACCAGAGCGGAGGGCCAGATGAGGACAAGACAAGCTCGGCGGCACAAACAACAAGAGGCGAGGCGAGCATTTTGGGGTTTGGGTCTGGCTTTATTGACCCACACAAAACACGCACGCACCTGGCGTCAGCGCCATCACCACCAGCAAGCTTCCACTGGATATATGCCACCCACACATCCGTGTTGCTGTTGCCGAAATGACGGACAGCCAGCTCAAACAGCTTGACCATGCGTTCGGTATCAACGTGAGGCAAGCTGCTCTCCAGACCCACCATGGTGCGAATAAAGGACCACTCGGCCAAGCCGGTTTCTTTGAAGATCCTATCGTGTGCATTCAGTGAGCAAGCAGGCCGAGTTTGTTCCATCAGGAGGAGACGGACACGTGAGACGGACCAGTCAAAGAGTTGGCGGGCTTCTGCAATGGATTGCCACGCCACCACGTTCAACGCCCGGCTGGCCAAAACAGCCCGCTCAGCGGGTTTCAGGATGTCCAGTTGCAAAAGTGCGCGCCTGTTTACGACACCGTCGAGTCGAGCCAAAATGGTGTCAGTGTACCACAGCCACATAGCAGAAGAATCAAGTTGAGGGCAACACACACATACCGATAAACAGAGGCGACGGCAGCATCATCCTGGTCAGCCAAGCGCTGGGATAGCTCGAGGTCCCAGATTTGTGCTTGCACCTGATCATGACACGGATCAGAGCCAAAAAGGTTAACGAGGCACGAGACCAGCAGCACACCATAGCTCTGGAAGAAACAGTCGGATTTCAAAGCGTACCTCACGGCTTGCGAGCGCCCGCGCTCGGTCAAAGGCGCTGACATCCGGCACGGTAGGTGCCACCAGGACCTGGAGTTGCAGGCTTAGGAGGACCAACTTATCGAGACTGTCGGACCAATCCGTGCTGAGTTCGGTCTTAGCACGCTTGGTAGTAGGCAGAGAATGGGCAAAAGAAAGGGCATCCTGAGCTAAAGTGTATGCTTGACTGGCTTGCTCCAAAAACACCAAGGTCTCTGCTAGTGCGCAAGCGCCTTGCACCAAATTGCACGCTTGCTCCAAGGGCCAGGCTGGGGCGGTGGTGGCACGCCGCTTCTTCTTGCTTGGCGTGCCTTCTGCGTCAGTAGCCGCCAAGGTCGCACGCAGCGCGGCCGTGGTTGTTGTCACGTGCGCCATCAGCGTTTCCCGCTAAGCAGAGTAGATCCACAAGCACAGAGCATGAGGAAGGCCGAGATAAACGGGCCAGTTCCCACCAAGGATCGGAGGTGAGCTCGGATCAGAAGACGATGAGATGGCTCACTGCAACGCACATGTTCCTTGGCTTGAGTTTCGAGCTGGTGACGCAGGAAGCGGATAGCAGCCAGCAAGGCTTGCGGGCTGTGCTCGGGAACTTGATCACGGTGCTGTGTCAGATAGGTCAATGCCTTGCCGTGCAATGCAGCCTGCTCCTGGTGCGTAGGAGCGGCGATATCTGGATTGGCATGGTCGAATGAGAAAGACCAGGATATGGGCTCAGAGAAGCGCTGCCTCTTCGCCGATAATGCCAACTCACCGGGGGCTCGGCTCTCGGTCAGGCTACGATTGGCCAGGACGGAGAGAGTACCAACAACATCGGTGGTGTGGCCTGCCTTCAGTCGCTCGCTGAGAAGGTTGTACACCTAAAGACACCACAAAGCGCAGGTGAGAAGCAGAGTGTGTGTGGGTGTGTGGGTGTTAAACCTTTGAGCCAAGCATGAAGGTGACCGTGAGGAAAGGAGAAACAGATTTGAGTTCTGCTTTGAACTCACCATGTTGCGAGATTGTGCAGTGTCACGGAAGAGGACAAAGACGTTGAGCAGGTCTTGCGCCAAGTCAGGTCCATAGTTTTGCGCGCCTGGCAAACCGGTACATGGGTCCTCTGGAAATGAGGCTGACGGCGTACTTGTGGTAACGACGCAGAGTCAATAGAGCGCAACGTACGAAGGGCGCTGAGGCACACCAGACGGGGCACGAGGCCTGAAAGAAAGCTGTCACCACCATAGGCCTTGGCTCTCTCGGTGATTTCGTGTTGCATCGAGCCAGGAGTAGCCGCATCTATCCAGTCCTTAGGTCAGAGCACGCGAGCTGGTGGAACAAGAGTAATAGCCCTCTGAAGCGCAAGCAAGCAAGCCAGGGGATGGTGAGCGCACCTGTCACGGTCATGGATGAATGCGAATCAGCATCGGTTGTGACGGCTCTGAGCATGTCAAGGGCTTCGGCACGCTCATCATCGTGAACCAATTGCACTTCTTCAACCTCCTCTTCTTGGTTGAGATCAGGCACATCGAGCAATTCGGCGTCACGCGCGAGATGCTGGCCCTCAACCACCTGTCCGTTTAGATTATCTTCATCCTTTGCAACACCGAGGATGGCTGCACGACGGCTCATCATTTCCCAATGCAAGAGCTCGAGACGTAGATACTCGACCCAGAGCTCGGGGCTCTCACGATTAATGCTGTCAAAAGACCGGAAAGGTATTGCAAAGACAGAGTTGTAGTGAGATGTGGGGGGAGTGCTCTTGCACACCAGACTCAGAGTGGCACATAAAGCTTGAAATGCGAGCTCACGGAAGGAGCAAGACTGACCGCAGACCGCGCTGGAGGAAGACGCGTGCGGCACCGATGTTCTTGTTGACTTCAAATTCGAGCTTGGCGGCCCGGATCCAAATGGCAGGAACGTTGCTGTGAAATTGGAGGCAGTTGGCCATGACGCGATTCAGCTGTTTGTACGAGCGCTGTTCCTCGCAGTAGTCAAAGTAGCTGAGCCAGAGCTCGAGGTCACCCTGTCACGGGATACAAGATTTGAGCGGAGACCCACAGAGGGCGAGTCAAATGCTGAGAGTGGGCCTACAATACAAGAGCAGCAATTCACCTTGAACTTTTCGAGGGCTTTGCGGTACAGGTTCATGACACGGCGGATGATGGTGTGATCGGCGACGCCGTTGAGGTCTCGGCGTTGGCGAGTTGACTTGCGGCGCACGCGCAAGGCGTCAACATTACGCTCATACTATTCAAGAGGTGGGATAGATGTGTGTGCGAAGCGCAGAGCCGATGAAAGCTGTTGGATGGGGTGCGGCAGGCAGCGGCTCGGCCCTATGGAGGCGAGTAGGGGCCAGATTTACATCGCATCGAGACATACCTCGATGTACTTGAGGTAGTCGACCTTGCGGGAGGTACGGCGGCGCAGCGCATACTCAAAGGCACGTCGACGCTTCACGATCTCACTAATAAGGAAGAGAGGGAGAAGCACAGCGAGTGCGAGGTGAGAGAAGGGGGAACAAGGGAGTGGGGGGCAGGACTGTGGGCGTGACAAGGGTTACAAGAAGGGCAGGCACCACAAAGTCAAGGAATACATACGCAATTTCCGACTTGCTGAACAGGCCGCGCTGCCGCAGGTCGTGCAGCTCCTCGACCTGGTCTTCCAACTTTTGTTGAACCGCTTCAGCCATGCTACCGGTTCAGAACGGGCACGCACGCAAACACCTCCCCCTCACACGAGGTTGCAACAACCAATTCCAAAAACACCACCGTCCAGCAACCCCGCCCGACTCTTCGAGCCAGCCAATGGTCGTGTGAGACGCTGCGCCCCCTCACAGGTCGAGTTGACCGTCGCCCAAAGAGAGAGAGAGAGAAGAGAGTGCGAGCGTGAAAACACGTGTACGCTGCGACCAAAATCTGACAAAACGATAATCTGACAACATGATATAATAGTCTGACAATGTAATAGTCTGACAATTATGTCATTGCATTTTTGAAAAAACCAAAAACAAAAAGTAAAAACAAAAGAGAGAGAGAGAGAGAGAGAGAGAGAGAGAGAGAGAGAGAGAAGAGAGAGAGAGAGAGAGAGAGAGAGAGAGAGAGAGAGAGAGAGAGAGAGAGAGAGAGAGAGTGGATCTGGTGATGATCATACCCTTAATGGTGGTGTACTGTTGTGGGTCAGGCAGTGTACGTTGTTGTGGTGCGTTGTTGTTGGTGGTGGTGGTGGTGGCTCGTCTTGGGCTGGGAATGGCAGTCGGTGGTCGTTGTTGGTTCATCAGACACAGGCACGTACGACGAAAGCAGCTAGCGGTGGCAGCAGCAGGTCCCTTGCATCCAACATAGAACGGGTGCGGTGTGTCGTCTCCTCGACGTACGTCACCTCATCACCTCCAAAAACAACCAAAGAAGAACGCAAGAAAGAGTTGAGCTGACCCCAATGTTGCACAATCCAACCGCGCGTGTATGTGTGTGTGTCTCTCTGTCTTTCTCCCTGTCTCTCTCTCTCTCTCTCTCTCTCTCTCTCTCTCTGTCTCTGTCTCTGTCTCTGTCTCTCTCTCTCTGTCTCTCTCTCTCTCTCTTCATCTCTCTCTCTGTCTCTCATCAATTTTTTGCTCATGTTTTCATTTTTCCACTCGACGGCAGACCGTATCCATGGCTGTGACACACTACTGTATCGCCGCCCTTGTGGCGGTGGCTTGCCTTGCGGCTTCAGTCCAGGCCCAGGCCAACCTTGGCCTTTCCATGCCGGTATGGCTGCGTGCTCGAAGAACAACATGGCTGGCATGCTGGGCCCTTGACGTGATGACGGGCGGCGGTCACTCACCTTGGCGCCGTGCCCCCATCACCATGCTTGCCCGGACTTTTTTTTTTTTTTTTCCCTTAGCTCAAGGCGTTCAATGGCGCATTGACGACTGCTGCCCAAACCGTGGCCAATGACCTGAACAATGTTGCTCTGCCCACTTGCTGGTGTGTCAACCATATACCCAATGACTCGTGTTGACGGGCCTTTGCCTTCCTTTCTTCTTCTTCTTCTTCTTCCTCTTCCCCTTCCTCTTCCTCTTCTTCCTTGCTCACGCTGGCTGCGGGCGCCTGCCTGACGTACGATGACCTGCCTCGGTCCGCGCCGGTCACAGCTATGACGATGTTGGCGCCAAGCACGTGCATCTTGACATGCAGGACATGAAAATTTCCGGCTCGACCGTCACCTTCTCCATTGTCAAGTCGAGCAGCACCACTTACGCCTTGAACGGCGCCGTCTCCATGACCGTCTCTGGCTCTTACCGTATGTGCCTGGAGTTGAGGCCTGGCTTGGTCCCCACACGTCAGGCCTCCATGTATCACGCACCTTGCTCACCTCAGTGTCTGGGCGCACCTGGGTAGGCCTGTGCATTCATGATGACCCCTTTGGCCACGGTTGCTCCACCATCAAGGGCTGCAAGGTCTGCTTTTGCAACCATGCGTGGCGTGCCTGAGCTGACCAGGAACTGAAAATGACGTCACCAGACACATGTGGTCTCTCACGCTCATCGCTACCTCCGACTTGCTCAGGGTGATTGGCAGCTGCAGCCGGACTTTAGCTTCAGCATGCCCATCAACATGGAGGCTGCCACCAGTGGTGCTCCTAAGATCACCCCCGGCACTGTGACCATCCCCACCTACACCCTCAACAACAACTTTTGCAGCCTGTACGTCCATCTTCGCTCATTCAGCCGCAAATCCTCCTCTCTCCCATCTTTCCTCTTGAGTCGAGTGGGGCGGTCTTCCTGACGACTAGCGTGGCCCATGCCTTTTTGTCCGCGACTCGGTACTAGGTTTAGCGATGCCATCTCCAAGGGGCTGGACGGCATGAAGGCCAACCTTGCCCAGAGTCTGCAAAGTGCAGCCGTTAACGTCGCAGCCAAACTGCAAGCCGCCATTCCCCAGACCGTCAACGCCGGCAAACTGGGTCAAATGTCTCTCAATTACCTTGTGCCTGCCTCTGGCGGCCTCACCAACCTGGACACCGCTGCGGTTGCCGGCTTTGCCGCCGCTGCCCCCCGTGCCCAAGCGGGTACCATGCCCAACATTGACGATGGCTACTACCACATTGTACGTGCCTTGAAAACTGCAGTCACTGCCGATAATGCTGGCCACTCGCAAGGAATGTCTTCTCGTTGGCCTCTAAAGCGTCCCCTGATTTACGCTCTGGCCATAGACCATGGGTGACAGCCTGTTGACATCGGCCTTTGATACCATCGTGGCCGAGGGTCTCTTTAACGTGACCATCAAGGAGGACGGTCTTGTTCTTGGCCTCACTTTTGGTGCGACCCTCTCGCCGTGGGTTTCTTCTGTTGCGTTTTGATTCGCCTTGCCCTCACTTTGCGTGACGCTGTGTGCTTTGTTTTTTTTTCTCTTGGTCTACCGATGGGCTCGATCAAACAGTGCGCAGCGTGCCGCCCCAAGTGAACATCTCCAGCAATGAATTCACCGTCATGTTGGGTCTGCACTATGACCTCAGCGACAACGGCACCCGTGCGTTACCATCCGGCTTGGGTCCTCAATAGCCCCTGTGTTCGGTTTGCATCCACTCACATTGCCCGATTGTTCCTCTTTTCCCCGCAACTCAGATTCGTCTGGCGACATTATCCTGCAAGCTGGCATTGATGTAAGTGTCGCCAGACATCGCATACCCCTCTAACGTATTGGCCAAACGAGCGCGAACGGCTCATGATGCACTCTGGTGTCTTGCGTATGTTTGCAGACCAAATTCTCCGCCGGAGCCAACCAAACGATTGTTCTCCAGCTCGCATTGACCAACGCCACCAACGTCGGCATGGGTCCCAACTGCCAGGGCGCTTGCGAGATTGTGGTGCAAACCATCCGCAAGTACCAGGCGCCCATCATCAACGGCATCAACAATTATCTGCAGGATGTACGACCATGTCTCGTTTGATCTTGTGTGCCAGGCACGACGTTGCCATTGGCTGCCGCCCTCACTGTCCTGGTCCTGATTGCTCCTTTTGCTGATTCGGGTCTTGAATAGAAGCCCGTGGTGTTCCCCGCACCCCCCAGTGACATGTCTTCGGTCAGCATTGACGTCGTCCCCAACTACCTTGACCTCAGCGTCATGATCAACTCGGCTGCTCTCGGCCACACCCTGGCTGCCGCTATCCGACCGGCCGTCCTTGGCGCGATTCAGTGCCCCGCCATCCCCAATGCCCACACCGACTCGTGCATCTAAGGCCCGTTCGGGGCTTGCCACGTCCCTTCCACGACGTTTATCTCCACACAAATCGATCCGCACAGGACACTCATGCGTGTCCGAGCAACCCCTCCCCATTGTGGTGCTCAAGAGCGAGCATCCCAAATTGGGGCGAGACGTTTGACCGCCTCGTCCACAAATTGATCTGTGATTCAACGGCTGTCAGGCCCCCATCTATCAACCGAGATGCAAGAGATGACGCAGAGCACAACCGAGTCATAATCAGAGACAAGATCCAAAGCGAAATCACAAAATCACAAAAAAAATCTCTCAACGAAAACCTACGTTGCTCTTATTGCTTCAAACCAATTCATCTCTCTCTCTCTCTCTCTCTCTCTCTCTCTCTCTCTCTCTCTCTCTCTCTCTCAAACCAATT